TTGTTGGAGAACAAACAGGAGAACAAACATCAGGACAGGGTAAGATTATTGTTCCTCTCTGCGTAACTATCCACTAGTATTTAAAAGTAAAAGACCAATCATAGGCCTAAAAACCTGTTGTGTTCTATGGTGTCACATACTCAGCAGGTCACAGTCCACCGTGTCAAACATTTTAATATTGTACTTTATTTTTATTTTCAAGGCTGCAGAAGAGAAATACGACTGTACATCAGGTCAACTAAAAGAGGAATTAAATAAAAACGCTTCTGATATCTGGTGAGTAAATCACAACAGCAGTGCATTTTAAGATGAGCTAAACCTTTATTGATACCCAGCTGGGAAATGTGGATGTTGCAGCAGCACAAGAACGGCAATAGTTAGAGAAAGTAAAATGAATAAATAATAAGAGGTGTAGAAACTAAAATAAGAATAGAATAAAAAATAGGAACTATACATGAGCATTTGTAGACAAAAAATATAATGTTAAGTGATATATGATATGATTAAGTTACAGTACTTAGTGTCTGTATTAATATAGAGCTTAATATAATGATGCAAAGAATCTGCATAACATATTAACATAACAAAGTATAATATGGTAGATTATTATTTAGTATGGGTTATATGATATAGTATAAATTGACAGAAAGTAAAATAGTGGTTTCCACTGCTGTTATACAGTCTGATGGCAGCAGGTGCAAAGACAAGAGTGAAGTGCTCAGTTTTACATATTTGCAGTTTCATGTTTTCGTCACTGTGAAATGTCCCTTGTTTATTACAGTAATAAGATGAGACTCCTCAGTGTGAAGTCGCAGCTTTGCAAAGACAAACAGAGAGAAAGAGAGACAGATTTCATTGGAATGGTTCACAGATACTGTCAGGAAACAAACTGCTGCCATTCATACATTGAAGAGAGGAGATGTGGTCCACCTCATGAGCGTCAGTAAGTATGAACCTGAACCTCTGTTCTTTGAATAGACACTGCAGACACTCTGTTCTAACTCTTGGTTGATATTCAGTTGTAAAAAATATAAAAAATGTTATGATAGCGATCTGAACTATTTCCTCTTTTTTAAAACACAACAGATTTTTCTACATATTAATGATAGACAAAAAGTACTACCCTGAGGGTGAGGGTAAGACTGCCAAGGAAGCCAAACAAAATGCAGCTCGGCTAGCCTGGTCTGCTCTCCAAGAACAGTCAGACTTTGACAGCAAGGTATTTCATGTTTTTTTACTCCCTTTATATCATGAAATACACACTCACTTGCCAGTTTATTATACAAACTAACAAAGTCTAATACAACAGTCCTGCCACAAATACTACCTTCACAAAGGCCATAATGTACAGGTTTTATTGAAACTGTTTTATATCACAATCTTAAAAGCTGTGATAATAAATAGAAAAATCCAATTTCTGTAAATGCAATACCAACTACTTGTGATCTCACCCCACCTA